TCTCTTGGTTCAAGACTGCATTAGGGTTGATCAGCTCAAGACACCTCCTCAAGCACTGATGACCAAAATTAGGGTTTGAGATTGCACAAGGATATTTGAACTTTAAATGCTTCATATGAATTTCATGGATCATTATGGACCCTCAAGATTACTCATGTCAAGTTTCAAGCCTTGGATCACATTTTTGCTCAGTCAATTGGCCAGTTGACCTAAAAATCAATTGTATCGGGGAAAAGTCAACTATGGTCAATTTACAGTCAAACTTCATAATTTTTTATCCATATCAACATTATAAACTCATATGTATCATTTAATCAAGTTTGGACCATAATTCCTCAAGAAATTTGATCAAATTATCAAAAGGGCAAAATGGTCAAAATTAGGGTTTTGATTGAGAAAGGGCAATTTCTGATTTTTGACCTAGCAAATGGTCAATTGGTTTGAAGCATGATTTCAAGAGTTCAATTGAATCATTTTGACCTAATGCCATGACCTAAAACATTGCTCAAGATCAATTGGATTGACAGTAAATTTTCAGTCAACTAATCAAAAGTCAAATGTACACTGAAAAGTCAAACTTTGACTTCTTGGTTAAAATTCAATGTTAAAGATCACAATTCATCAAAACATGTCAAAATATGAAACTTATTCATCAATAAATCAAAAATTCAAGATTTCATTTTGAAAAGTCAAAATTTTCTAACTTAGAAATTTTTCTAAGTGTTTAAACTTCATGTTTTTTCATAACTTTGGGCCAATTTTTCATCATGATGCAAGAGGATTCAGAAGAAACTTTCAACATGAAAGTTGTATATCTCCATGATATCTACAACATTTCTTTACACAAATTCTCCTAAAAATTCTTGGATCTCAAGTTATTAATTCATAAAGTCATGGTCTTGAAATTGGACACTTAGTGAAATTTTGCCCTAGTTTTGGTCAGGATTTTAACCTAACTTCATGGCACTTTTTCGTATAGTTCCAAGGGTAATTTTCAAAACTGATTCAAATAGGGGTTATAGAGAATATTGCAAGCTTTCCAAAATGTCCAAGAACTCCTTGAGATCATTTTTTAGTAGGGAGAAACGAAGAGATGAAGTTAGGGTTTTCACACTTGAATTGTAAGTCATTTTGTGATGAACAAGAATTCAATTTCAAACCTATTCTGCACAATCTCGCTTTGTAGGCCTCTAAACCTCAAGATCTATCCATAATCATAAGATTACACTTGCTTTTGAGCTATTATCCACTTGATTCAAGCTTTATCCAAGCAAATTTTCCATTTATGGCACAAAGTAACCATTCCATTCTTGTAAAGAAGCTTTAATCACAAAGTCAATGCATAGAGATTTGCACTTGTTCCTTCTGATCACAAGAAATGTCAAAGGCAAAAGCAACATGTCTAGAGCCTACCATAAACTCAACCCATGCTTGTACTTCATCTTGGAACCATATTGTCACTTTTCTTCAAAATCAAGTAACATAGCCATAAGTCTATATCTTGCTTTTCTAACCTCCTCAAGTCCTCAAATCTTTTACATATAACCATACAAGTGTATTGCAAGCAAACACACGATTGAACAAGCCCTCAAACTCCCCAAAACCAGAAATTTCCATACAAGCACAAAAACTTGTTATTTCTGATTTTTGAATCCAATCTCCAAATCCCCCCGTGCGTTTCTTGACCAAACCATCCACAAAGCTTCTAATACACATATAGAAGCTATCCCAACCCCTGTTTTCAAACTGTAATACCATTTGCACCATTCTCCATTTTCAAAAACAGGGCATTGCACATTGACTTCTTCAGCTTGATTCAAGAACTCTCAGCATAAAGTAAGCTTTGCAATAGCTTCCCGGAGGTTCAAGGAAGCTAACCCAATCATCAAAACACTTTGAAAACAGCTCTAACTTAAAACACGATCTTCAGTTGCAAGGTGAGTTTTCTGACTTTTCATCTCATTATTTAGGCATTGTTAGGCTTGCATTTTCAAAGATAAAATGTAGACATCATTTCCCTGAAACTATACATGTCCATAGATTTCATTTATTTTGATTAAGCTGGGAGAATTTTGAGTTTGAACTTTCTGAAATATTTAGGTCAGAATTTGGTACTTTTAAATCGGAGCTACCTCATTGAGATATGAGTTTCAAAGTCTGAAACCCTAGATATGTTGCCCTTTGGTATGCCTCCCTTCCACCATCAGCTTCGACCATACATGCAAATTAAAGAAGAAGAGGGAGATTAGAAGGATATTTGCACAAAAAAATAGAAGAGAGAAGCAAGCTTTGAGATTCACTGTGGAGAAGGTAATCGGATAAACACTCAGCTTAAGTTTGTTCTTGTTATTAGTTTGCTGCAATTTGGGAGGGGATTGGACGCCGTCGGTGGTTGCTGCCGCCTGGGGATTTTAGGCTTAGGTGGGTTGACGTTGTTGTTGTTTGTGTTAACAAGACAGACACAGAGAGAGAGAGAGAGAGAGAGAGAGAGAGAGAGAGAGAGAGAGAGAGAGAGAGAGAGAGAGAGTGTGAAGTGAAAAAATGAATGAAGAAATGGAAAAAAGAAAACATATACTCCCTCTGTTCTTTAGTCCATTGGGACACGTGGCCAACATCTGGCCACATGATCCAATGAACCCTCGCTGTACACCCTCACATCTCCGCCCTTTGATCTTAATCGAACACCCCAGATTATGCACCCTCACTTTAGCCTTAGGCGCTTGCCACGCACGATCCAAACAGGTCATATTATTTGCTCTTGGGCTTAAGGCCCATTGCTATTCAGCACCTGAGTTTTACTACCCAATGCCAATTCACACCCCATTTGTCTGGATGAAAAAACAACTATTAGGCTCAAGTCGGTTTCTAATCGCGCCACCCTTTTTGCTAGGAAACTAACCTTTACACCCCTGCACAATTGGGCCAAATCCAATATCAGGATTTAGGCTCTGATATTCACACCCCCTGATTTTTGCTACTCAATGCAAAACGCACCCCCTGATCGTTTGGGTTCAGATTTTCTTTTGGGCCTAAATATTTTTTCAATACACCCCCAATTATAATATTTACACCCCCGCGCTTAAATTAATTAACTTTATTAATTTTATTTTATTATTTTATTTTATTTTCTTTATTTAGCTTAGTTATCATATTTTTGGCATTTTACGTTAAAATGTATTCTTCTTACATGAAAAATTATTAATAAACAACTATTTAATAATTAAAATGGTTGTTTATTAACCAAAATTCTTTTTTTTCCTAAAATACTAACCCTGATTTTTTGCATTAAATATTTTTCCATTCAAACTTATTTTTCATATTGCATCATACACTCGAAAAATAGATAACCAATAAATTACTAACAATTTTCTACTAACATAATTAAAAAAATTATATTTATTTTAAAAAAAGGAATTGTGGAAATCTCTTTTATTAACTCCGAACTACGTCTACGATTCCGCTATTTTCAAACTCAGACTTGGTTCAAGGATTAATTTAAAATATTTCCATAGTCCATAAAAAAACTAACAAAACACTGTGAACTACGAATTAAGACTATGATTCATCATAAGAGGATACGTAGGCATACGATTTAAAAATCGTGGAGAGTCCCCTAATTAAATATTTAAAACCCTATTCATAAACCTTAAATCTAAACCCTAGTATCTTTGTGAACAAGATAGATGAAAGGTGTCTAACATCTTCCCTTCGTTTAAAGTGAGTCAAAAACTTAGAATCTATTTCGACTTTAGGGTTATTCCATTATATTCCCGTCTTAGGATAAAAATTAATGGTAGCGACTCTATATTTTTTGCCGCTTATTACCCAACCAAATTGATGATTTCTTATTCTTTGATTTTGAGCCTTATTCGTTGATGAGTTGCTCAAAATCGCGTATTTGAAGCCGTGTCTTCGATACTTTATTGTTCATGCTCCAAATATGTATCAATACCTATAAAATGAATGGAAAAGTATCAAACGGTACACAAATACACAAAAACTCTATTAAATACAATTTATATATAATTATACAAAAAGAGGGGAATTATTCAAGGATATTAACAAACAAGAGTCGAAAAATGCCACAAACTAACCACTCAAAACGACTTTTTGGCACCTAACATTGTGTTAGAAGTAACACAATCCATTTCACTCTTAATGTTGCTTCAAATAGAGGAAGAAATATGGTATTTGATAGGAATGTCATCTCTAACCACTATTGATTTTAACAAGAGAGTCCAATTTTTAGAGGATTTCAAAAAGATCCCATCATAATTTCATGTTGAAAGCTTCATTGAGGGTAGAAATGGACTTTAAATCTAAACCACCATGCGCCAAAGGATTGCACACCTTCGCCCAAGCCACGGTAACAAGTTTAGACTCGGTGATATTACCAGACTAAATGACTTAATACTTCTGGCCAACTCTTTAATCAAAGACATATGCTAAGAATAGATAGTAAAGCTATTCATAAGCATAGAAGCAATATAGGATTTAACCACTTGAATTCTACCAGCAAAGCTTAGAAGAGAACCCTTCCACTTGGTTAACTTAGATATAACTTTGTCAAGGATATGTATGAGATGTCTATCTTTAGGCTTACCCTTAAATATACAAACCTCCAAATAAGAGAAGGGAAGACACCTAACTTTGAAACCCAACTGATTAGCAATGTGGTGCAACCTTGCTTCAGTAATAGAACCAACAAAGATGTATGATTTATGAGGATTCATCATCTGACAAGAAGAAATGGCATAATTAGAGAACAAGTTAATGAGAGAGGCTATGGTGCCTTTATCACCTCTACAAAACACCATTACATCATCTGCAAACACATAATGAGAGGGCACATCAAGCCCTTTGGGGCCTGGGATGAGCTTGTTTTTTTTCTGAATGCGAAGAATAGATAAAATCCTACTAAGTACCTCTTCAGCAATGAAAAATAAGAGAAGTGAGATGGGATCTCTCTGTCTCACACCTCTACCACACTCAAATAAACCATGAGGCTTTCCATTGAAAGAAATAGAGATTTTGGAAGAATTGAGATTTGTCCAAATCCATCCAGTGAAAGTATCATTGAAGCCAAATTTCTTGAGAACCTACATCAAAAACAACCAGTTAATAATATCAAATGCCTTTTTAATTTGCACTTTCATAACCAGTTTACCACCATAAGCTTTCTTGTGTATCAAATTATCAGCTTCCGAAGTAAGCCCTATACAATCTTTAATGCGTCTCCCTTGAACAAAACCTTTTTGCTATCTGGAAATGATAATAGGCATAATGGGAGAAAGTCTATCTGCAATAACCTTAGAAGTGACTTTAAATTTAAAGTTAGCTAACACAATAGGACGAAAGAGCTCAATAGAATCAATATTAGCAATTTCAGGAAGGAGAATCAAAATGTTAACATTATAATTAGGCATAATCCAGGAAGAGATAAAGAATTGTTTAACCTCCTCAATGACTTCATGGTGAATAATATTCCAATAATTCTGAAAGAAAAAGGCTCCAAACCATCAGGTCCAGGAGCACCGTCTTTATTCATATTGAAAAGCTCTTATTTTATTTCAATGTCAGAAGGGATTTTAGTAATCATTTGACTAGCTTCTTGATTGATGAGGTTATGGATGTTATCCTTAATGAGGTCAGAATCAATAACAGTATCCGTCGGGGAATAGAATAACTTTTTGAAATGATCCACTACTGAATGCTAATGACCTCTTGATCAGAAACAAGATTCCCATCAATGGTGAGAGCTGAGATGTTTTTAGTAACACTCTTAATCTTAGTAATCCTGTGAAGTATTTTTGTATTTGTTTCCCTCTAAATTCCAATTTACTATAGCCTTTTCTCTCCAGTTCACGAACATGGCAATCCCAAAAGATCCAGCCCTAAAAAAAGACCAAAACAAACCAGAAAAAATAAGAACACATTTACATCATCGGTTTTGCTATGTGTGTTATTAGACTATCCTTATACTGTCCCCTGTATATTATGGTATCTATAATATGGTCCGCTATTTTTTTAATATCTACATTGTTACCAAAGCTTGTCATTTCAATATCTCCAAATCCATAAATAGTCTCTGCAATAGCCAGCTTAAGAATGGATGCTTACCAACCATTGCCTTTTCTTCTCATAATTATCCAATTCACTTCATCATACCAAACTTTCGGTTCATAATTCACCACCTGAAGCCATACCAACACTTTATGCCAAATAGATCTAAATTCAATGCATCCAAAGAAAAGGTGGTCTATGGTCTCTTAACCAGAGCAGACACAACAATTATTATTGTCAACCATAACAAAACGATATAATATATCTTTTGTGTGGAGCTTACCATGACATATAAGTTATAATGTGATCAAGGATCTAGGTCTCGCAACATTTCCATGAAATAGGAAGCTATAGGGGACCTTTTCAAACTCTCTTGCTATTAACTTTCCATACACGTGCTTCATTATGAATTTAGGAGCCTGCACCATGTGGTTCCAGAACTCCTGCATGCTGCATACAGTAGTTCTTTGTTTCAAAATACATTTCATAATCCATGACAGATTGGGCTTGTTCTCCATTCCCATCAGATCTTCATGTTTTATATAGTAGGTATGCACCCATTTTACCCAAAATTTATCAGTTTTCCGATTCCACAAGATCTTCATCATGCATATATTGTTCCATGTACTGAGATCAATTATGTTCACGCCTCCAAGCTTTCGGGCTGCAAACTGTTTCCAAGAGATAGGATTTTTCCTACTATTATCAGAACTCCCAGTCCATACAAAAGACCTGCATATTGAATCAATCTTATGGATTACATGCTTGGGAAGAGGAAAGCATTGCATCCAAAAGTTTTTAATGGCAAATGATATACTTTTTACAAGTTGAATCCTCCCTGCATAGCTCAACAATCTAGTGCTCCAATGTTTGATCCTACTAACAATTTTATCCACAAGAATAATGTAGTGATGAATTGAGAGTTTCAGACCTGAGAGTCTCGGAGTAGCCGTTAACTTGGATCCTGACTTGCACCATGGTTAACTTCTCTTCAGCTTCACTAAGTAACCGATGGACATTACCGAAAGTATCTTTGTTCTATTTCTTCAAATTAGTTTTGAGGAATCTGAGGTTTTCAAAAAGGAAAAACATAGGGCAACCTGAAACTTTAATATTCCAAGAGGATTTGACAACATCTATACAAATAGGGTGAGCAATCCACGTTTGTTGAAATTTAAATTGACAAGCATTAGAAGAAATAGAATCTTTGAAATTAAACTTTAAGGAAAAGTGGTCAGATCTTACTTTAGTAAGCGTGCATCAAGAAGTTTGATTGAAAAGAGAAAGCCAATCAATGATACAAATTTCTCTATCCAATCTCTTCGGAGTGTTAGAGCTACCCACTCGACCATTATTCCAAGTGTAGTAAGCTCCAACATTAAGCAAATGCCATCTTTATTGAGCCTTTTACATGAATCAATCGAGAGTATCATGTCATGATTCATTGCTCAGTGGTGTCGAAAGTGTGGGAGAAGATTTAGAATTAGTTTCAACTTGATATGTCGGCGAAGGTAGATTGCGGTGAACATTCCTTGAAGGTCATTTCACTTCTTAAAAATTTGAATATAAAGAGTAAGAGAGCAGGAGCTATTTGGTGAGTAGCTTGTTGGTGTTTTTGAAATAATAGGAATAACATCATTTTTAAACATGGTTTTGTGGATAGGGGCTTGTTTTTTAAGATCAAATTTTAAACCGGAAAATGGCTAGTTGTAGGGTCGAATAGGAAGGTGTCATTCAATTTCTACAATTGGTGTCAAAATCGGGTGGATTGTATTCTAAATTTGTAATATGGGGCTGGATTCGTTTCTCTTTTTATATTATGAGTTAGCGTACTCTATTATTAATAACATTGCTTATTAAAAAAATCTTTATTGAGCCTTTTACAAGAATCAATCGAGTGGCCGACTAACGTGCAAGTAGAACAAAATGGCGGTAGGTTTTCATATTTAATATCGACAAAAAAAAAAATCCCTGTCTCTCGACCAAAACATTAAAGATTGGCGCCACATCAAGATTAACATCGAAAAAGAACCCGAACAAAGAGTTCAAAAGGCCGGTTGAACATTGATTTGGAAGCGACAAAATCAGTGCAAATAGGTGTACCTACGCTACTCTCAATTGCAAACAAATTGAGTTGATGTCGAATGGATTGAGAGGTGCTCGTCAATCATCATGAGTTGATGCCGGTTCAGGAGGACGATGGATCGATGTTACCCGAAGGAGAGCAGAGGAGATTCGGAACATGATCGTGTGAACCGTACCAAAAGAAAGGGTTAGACTGGATCCACTTTGTCTGTCGAATCATTCCAAAATAATATATATATATATATATATATATATATATATATATATATATATATATATATATATATATATATATATATATATATATATATATATATATATATATATATATATATATATATGACATAGTTTTGATTTTATAAATATGAATGGACTCCTACTTAAAATGTCTACAAATTAAAAAACATAAAATAAATTATTATGATTTTAATAGGAAAGACAAAAATATAAATATTTATAATTGTTGTCTCATGGATGAATTTCATATTGAGTTGTCAATTGCTTAACCTTAATTTTAATGAACATTTTTAAGGAGATATGAATGATTGTCTCAAAATCTTCCATTCAGACATCTTTCCTATGACATAGTAAAAAAAAAAAAAATTATACAACATAACAAATAAAAACTTAAAGATAATAAAAAATAATTATCTAATTTCTATTATGAAGATTGAGTTGTTTAAATTGGAGAATTTTTAGAAACACATCTCCTTTATCTAATTTAAGTTGTTGTAGATATTGTTAATAATATCATAAATTGCATCTAAAAAGATGAAAATACACATAAAAAAGTAATAATGATGAAGAGATATGAATGACAACTTCATAATTTTTCATTCTCTACTTCATTTCTATTATTCTCATGATGAATCACAAATGTCTTGTACACTAAAAATGTTACAATATAAAAAAACAATATTATACAAAATAAAAAATAAAAGCTTAAAGCTATTAAAAAATAATTACCTAATTTTTATTATGAAGATTGAGTTATTTCAATTAGAGAATTTTTATAGACATATCCCATTGTTTTTTGAAGTTGTTGCATATATTGTTAATCATGAAGATACATATAAACCTAAGTAATAATCATGAAGAATTATATGTAAGAGATAATATATGTTTATTTTTGTGATACAATATATTATTTCAAGATGAATAAAATCATCTTCTCTATGAAATCATCTAAACTCATCGAACGTAGGCAATTGTTTGTCTTTGCAAAAAATTTTTTTTGAACAAAGATGATATATATTTAATAAAAGATAATGAAAATAAGACGATCTCAACCGATTCATTCCACAAAACAACAAAATCCCAAAGACACAATTACATCAACTCAACTATGTGATTTATAAGTCTAGTATTAAACCAATCCCTGTAAACAATAATGTTCATGATTTATTGAATAATAGTTTTCTTGTCAACAATGTTACCAAAACAACAATTATTCCTATACCTCCAAGCCCCATATATAGTTTAGGTTGCCGCCAACTTCAGAAGTGCAACTCTCCCACCCTTACACTTGCTATGATAAAGAATCCAGTTTATTTCCTCTTTCCAAATCTTAGGAATATGCTTTATATGAATCTAATTGAGAATTTCCGTCCAGATACACTTAATCTCATTGCACTCAAAGAATAAGTGGTATATCGTCTATTCCTTAGGACAAAAGCAACAAATAATATTGTTCAGCATGCCAAACTTGTTCAATCTCTCTTTTGTTGTTAATTTCTTGTGACACGCCAACCACATAATCCTAGTGGCACGAGGTCTAGCCGGGTTATTAATCATAATGTTATGCCAATCACAAGAAGGACCTATAATAAGAAGGTTGTAGACTTTCTTTATCTTAAAATTCCCTTGAAGACAAATAGCATCCAAAGTTGCTGAATATTGCAGATAACTTCTCTTTAAAGGAGAATATGTTTCATAATCCAAGTTCCATTTTGCTTCACATTAACCTCCAAAATTTTCTGATTTTTGAAATAGTAGATGTGGATCCACTTAACCCACAAACTATCCTTCTTACAACACATATTCCATAACAGCTTTAGCAAGGAAAGCATATTCCAGATAGAGATATCTGTAATACCAAGACCACCCTGCTTCTTAGGCCTACAAACTTTCTTCCAGGCAACATGGCTTTTCTTACTAACACTATCTTTTCCAGTCCAAAGAAAAGAGAGACAAATGGCCTCAGTCTTCTTGATCATCAACTTAGGCAAAGGGAAGCATGACATTCAGTAATTAGATATGGCAAAAGAAATACTTTTGATAAGCTGAAGACGTCCAACAAAACTCAATAAGTGAGAAGCCCAATGCTTGGTTCTGGACACGATTTTCTCAATAAGCTACAAGTAATGGTTGATTGTAAATTTCTTACAAGTAAGAGGAACGCCAAGATGACGGAAAGGAAGGCTTCCTTCACTGAAGCAAGAGACCCTGAGGATGGTATCTCTGGTATCCTTATCATCAGCTCCATAGAAAATCTTACTTTTACTCTTGTTAATACTGTTATAGTCTGATTTTTCCCCTAAGATCTCTCATAATCTCATATTATCAATATATCAAGATCACACATTAGGGTTGATTCTCCCCTCTACTTCATCCTATTTTTAAGTTTGTTCTTGAGCGATCACCAAGTACCTTGAATTGTGTATCTTGTACATGTGTTTTTTTAGTTGGATTAACTTTTAAATAACATCAAAATATTTATATATGTTTATTTGAATATTCATATTGTAGGTGATGACACAATTGCACTCATCTCACTATCTAACCTAGGATTTTGAGGGATGGTCCTCAGTCAAATGGCTCTTCAATGGATTGCAAGAGATTAATCTTAGAGATTTTTTGCCAACATCAATATTTTTATGTGATATTCATCATTTGATCAAGGGTTGATCATAATTCCTCAAGGAAAGCACTCAAATCATCAAAGGGGCAAAATTGTCAAAATTAGGGTTTTGACTGAGAATAATTGATCATTGACTTTTGAGCTAGTACCTGAGCTAATGACTTAAAGCATGATGTTAAAGACTCAAACACAATATCTTGACCTAATTGCATGGTCCAAGACATTCTCAAAGGTGCAAGATATTGATAGTTGAAAAATTGAGATCAATTGATGAAAAGTCAACACGCACACAAAAAGTCAAACTTTGACTTTTTGGTCAACTAATCAAGAAACATCAAACCATTCAAAATTATCAAGCTTGATCAACAAGATTCAACAAAGTCAACAAAAATTCAAAATTTCCAATACTTAGAAAAATACTAAGTGTTTTGTTCTTGATAAATTCACTACTTCATGACCATTTTCACTAAGATGCAAGATGATTCAAAGGAAACTTTAACCATGAAAGATGTAGAGCTTGATGAATTCTACAAATTTTTCCTTGAGGGTTCATGTCCAAAAAATGCTTGGATTATGAGATATAAGCCCATGAAGTCATGACATTTTTATCTAAACACTTAGAGAAATTTTCAACAAGTTTGGTTAGATTATTGTCCCAACTTTTTGGCAATTTTTCACAATTTCCAAGTTGATTTAGCCAAAGTGGTCAACATGAAGGTTGTAGGAAATGTTTCAAGCTTTCCAAAATGTACAAGAACACATTTTTATCATGCTTGAGCTAGGATATTCGAAGGCATGAAGTTGGGCATCCATTCTTGAAATACAAGGCATTTTGTGATGAATACATAACCAAATCCTCATGCCATGCTGCATAATCTTGCTTTTCAGGCCTCTTAACTTCCAAATCACTCCATAATTTAATGTTTACACAATTGATTGAACCATTATCCAAGTGTTTGATCCATTGTCTAAATGATTTTTCCATTTATGGCACAAAGGCACCATTGCCATTTACATAAAGCATGCTTTGTGCATTTTGTCAACTCTCCTTGAGCCTCTCACATGTTCCTTCTGCACATACATAATTCCAAAGCAAGAATAAACATATCTACAACCCCTAACCACCCTATGTGCCATTGTACCATTGCATTGGAATCATGCCTTTGCAAGTTGCTTCGAAACCAAGTCTGAAAACCATAACATGCTATCTTGAATTCTGGTTACTTCAAGCCCTCAAATCTTTTCTTTATAAATAGAAAGGTTATTTGCAAGATAAGACATGAGTTCACAAGCCTCCTAACCCTCTCAAACTCTCTGAAATTATAATTGGCACCCAATACCACATTAGTTGCAAATTCTGACCTTAAACTCCAAACACCTAATCCACTCGTGCGTTTTCACTCTAAATCATTCACAAAGCTTCTATGACTCATATAGAGGCTATCCAAACACCTCTTTAACCACTATAACATCATCTTCATCATCCTCCATTTTCAAAAA